TAACCGCTTTTGTTTCTTGAGTTGCTATGTGAACCTACAAGCTAACACTGTTCTGTCAAACAATTTTTTCTGTTTTCCGTCTTACCCCTCCCTCCACCCTCTTTTCAACTTTAAAAGCGTATAAATTGATGATGAAAACTTAAACTAGAAACATTGTAATGCTTTCGTTTAGATGCGTCAATTTTATGGTATCTCTTCTCTACCACCACTCAAACATTAAAGTATGTTATTATCATCTATATATAACCATTGTAATCTCAGGTAGTAGTGTGTAGCTGATGAGAACCTGTGAAATAGAATGACGGCATCATTTTATACTGCAAATTTCGTCTTCCTTTCTTTATCAAAATGTTTTTATTTCCAAGGTTTCCATCGTGACGACAAAAACAGAACAAACGCGGGAAATGTAAAAGAAAACACTTTAAATGTAAATGATGCAGATAACGTTTAGCTTAATGTTTTTAAGGCGTATTATTCAAAATAAGATCAATATTAAATCTGCTGGCGAACTACACATCTTATTCTCTATACGATTGATGGTGCTACCTCGATTGAAAGATGAAGTACCTAGACTAGACTAGCTAGCCACTTCAAATTGTATCTACCAATTCAACTGCTCTGCTGTGCTGGAGCGAGTTATATTGTCCGTTGCTCTAGGAACTTGATTTTTCGTGCTTGCTCACTCGAGAACATCTCCCAGTATGACAAAGTAAAGGTGTAATGAAAACCATTAACAGTTCCATATTGGACCATCTGGTGCAAACCGGTCACAAAGCCAGCCAGCATTGAAGAATCCTTCTCTATCCTCATCTACCGGGTGCCTAATAAATTGCCAAAATAATCGAAGCACTGCATTCTGCAAACAGCAGAGGCTATCTCAATTCGTCTCAAGCAACCAATGCTTTGCATCGCCTTCCTCGATGAGCAATGTTAGCTGATATACGGTCAGGCTAGAAAACAGCTAGCGGAGGTCAAACAAAAACATGGCACCAGTCAATCAAATCCACAACAGTTAGTTTAAGCCACATCGGAAGGTGTAGACTTCCTGGGACGGTAAAAACCAATGAAGATTGGAGACAATTGGTGATATGGCTCAAACCCATCGTTCTCAATGGCTGGTGCAGATGCACCCACTCCTTGTGACTTATAATTTCCAATGAAACTATATTGTTCTTCGTTATTACTATTCCTTTGTCTCACACCTCTGTTTACTGTCTCTATTATGCACTTCTTCCACTTTCTTCTCTTGCTTTGTGCGGTACATGGAGGGAGGGAGTGTGGCGACTTGAACTGCCGCACATCAGTGCAAAGTTCTATGTCGAAAACAGACAGACAGATCAGTGCTATGTGTGCAAAAGAAGCAAGTTCAGCTAGACACTACTACTGCTCTGACAGGCCTTCAGTGGAGATTATAAATTCATGAATTTTTAATATTATCATTCCTAATTTTTTTGACATACGGTTTGTTGTAATTTTGAGGCTATTGAACTGTAATCTATTGATTTTATTGATTTGATGTTATAACACTCATTCATTCACTATTATGGATGCATACAACTGTAAAGCCTGATGATGAAGGGGTTATGGAAAAGAGTATTCTTTGTTTAGTGTTCGTTCTTTTGAAAAATCTTCAAGATTTTGGTTTGTAAGGATTAGTTTTGTGTTTTACGAGTTTGACCACGAATTGATATCAGTTAGAGGACCATTGAAAACCAAACAGGGAGCATTGGACGGTTGTTTCATCAGCCTAGTTTTGGACTAATCGGGAGTGCGCACCCACTGGGGCTCGGACCCAGGACGTTCCAGTTACAAGGCAAGCTCGTATACTATTCAGCCACTGGGACCGGACCCAATGGCTAGCCTATGAATTCTAACTGCTGCCAATTCATGATTTTAGCACGATCACCAACCAATGTCGTCGGCGGGAAATCCATCCTCACTTCCTAGTGGATGGAACTCACTAGCAACAACTTATCAGTTTACTCACAAATCATGAGAGATCGGCATTTGTAGTCAAAGACAGCTAGCCGCTTCATACCTTTTATGTTCAACGTTTATAACTTACAGTCCAGTTATGATACCTTTCTACGTCTTTTCACACTCACGTTCGTACAGCAAAAAGCAATAAACATGGCGAAGAATAGACACGTATCCAACATAAAATTAGTACCAATAGAATTATTTAATTATCAGGTGTTGGTTTGCTGGGATTTGATTGGTTATGAGTGTGATCATGAGGTGATATCAGCAGTTAGGGAACCATTAGAAAACCAGCAAGAGGTACTGGATGGCTGTTTCGTCCTAGGCGCGTGCCTTCTAGGGGTCGAACCCAGAACCTACAGGTTACAAGGCGAGCCCGTACACCTTTCAGCCAATGGGACTCGATCCAATGACCAGCCCATAGATTCCAACTTCAGCCAATCCTCCTTGTAACCAGGAAGTCTTAGGTTCGAACCCTAGTGGGTGAGTGTTGATGAAGAATCCAGAACTAGGACGAAACAGTTGTCCAGTACTCTCTGGTGGTTTTCGAATGGTTCTCTAACTGATATCAACTCATGATCAGATCTGTAATTATTTAGCTGTGACGTACGAAGCTGGACTAGTAAGGCTAGAGGACTCAACATTGTGGTATTGAATTTTAGAAGTTAGTTGGTATGAATCTCTGAATCTAGGGATTTCATTAAGCTCTGACATTCATTTATACAGTCTGTTGAAGAATTCAAGACAGTAGTTTTCTATAGCGAAATTCTGATCTTCATCATTGAGTCATGAAGTCAGTGATTGAAAACTACCTGACTGACACCTGATAATCGACTCGTGTACATCAATCGTCGACGACTGAATTACAAGTAAGGTCTCTTACTTCAAGATTAAATGATATAGACTCAATTGTTGAATGAGAAATGAATTTCTACAATACCTTGAATATATTCTGATAGTGGGAAGAGTTAATTTAACAAATGGAAAATTCCTGTTGTAACACATTGAAGAAAATCAAAACAGGTGATTCAGCAAAGAGACTCTTTTCAACGAATTTATTATCAAGCTTTACAATCGTATATATATATGGTTTTTGGGAAGTGAAGAACGATGTGAACTTATCAAGGAGGACCGATGGAACTCTGAAGGGATCGATTTATCGAAAGGTGTCATGGAATGTTTAACTGACAAATTTCTACAGCTGGGTACCCATTGGTCGAAAACTAAACCTGGTCAGATCGCTTGTCACTCGCATTCGGCGCATATGTACCCCTGATACTGTGGAAGATGAGTTATATATTTTGAGGAAAATCCTAATAGAAAGAATACACATTCAAAACGTGATATATCATCCCCACCCAAGAAAATACTTTACATGAGCTTGGAATTCAAAAAGCGATTTAGCTTCCGATATCATGAAACGAAGGATATCACAATCCCTGAAAAGAACATTCCCTGCTACATCTACAGTCGACCATTACGGTTCAAAAACCTGAAGGATAAGATCCCGCTGTTGACCGGCTCTATGTGCATTTATCAATTCGTCTGCTCGTGTGAAGCTAGGTATATCGGTCGTTCGACTCGAGTTTTGTCCAAGAGAGTGCAAGAACACTATCCTGTATGGTGGTTACGAAGAGGTGGAAGTGGTGCAATATGAAGCGCAATCATTGAACATCTGGTCGATAATGAGTACCCTATCTCTCTATAGCCTCCGCCTTTTAAGTCATCTACAAGGCAAAGAGTAATTTACCCAAATCACTAAGTACCCGACTCATCTGTATTGCTGAAGCCATCTTTGGCTATCAAAACGGATGGATCTCTGTACACAGAAAAAGTTCGTTAAACCCCTCCAACTTTCGTGGTCTTAATCCTCCCTCTATGCTAAAGTATGGTTATCCCCAAATATATTTTAGCTCAACCAATTTTTCATTTTTTTCATTTTGTCTATTCAGCTTGTATACTCTTCCTTATTAAGTCAATTGTTACTATTACTACTCTCATTCTGAACTGTCCCCGGTATTATTTCACTTGTTCCACTTGTCATTCTAAATCAATTCTGGTTTACAACATTAAACTCTATGCTATTAAATTTCACACAATATTACGTAACGTTTTTGTTTTATTGGATTTGCCTACTAATTCTATAATTGCACACACACGCCCCACCAAGTTCTATCCATCCTATGAATTATTCTATATATGATATTAATTTACTTTGCCACTTGACATTTAACTATGAGTATAATCACAAACATTTTAGTTTTTAATTGCATTTCATACTACTATTATTATTATTATTATTATTTTATGCATTCACACTTATGATTCAATTCCCTCACCGGATATAATTTCTTAAAAATACCATATACATGCGACTGTACAGCTTGATGATAAATTCGTTGAAAAGAGTTAACTTGGTATGCTTCTGCCACAGACATTCATCAACAGCTACCGGCTAGAAAGGATTACAAACAAAGAAGTCTGACAGGTAACGAACCAATCAAGAACCTGCCTCCAAAAAAGTATGCCAATAACTGAGGATGGATCGAACACATACTAAGTATAGTGTTGAGTGTCATCGCGGACCAGACGGACACTCGAATAAGACCAGAATGGGAGACAATAAGTTGGAAGTTACTTCGAGGATGACATGGAGGAAATCATATGAAGAGAAGATGAAAGCTTAGGAGAGGAGTCCTGTGGAAAACACGATGAAGTGGAGATGGCTAGCTGAAGGTCTATGTTCCACTCGAAACCTAATTAAACAATTATAATAATAATAAGCGCTAACCAAAGGGAAATATTTCGATAGAATAAGGAATTCAAGTATAGGACTTACCATTTTTATCACCAGCACTACTCTGTCCTCCTCCAGCACTTGTTCCAGATGCACTCCATGATGAAGAAGACGTGGATGAATTCGACGGGGACAGACCATTCAACTGATTATTATTTGGTAATACAGACAAGACATTATTCCCACCAGTTGACGATGATGATGTTAATAATGATGGTGCAGTTGTCATGGAATTTGTCTGTGAATGATGACACACGGCGATGTGGAGTCCTTTATGATCCATAGTTGGACTTTGTGGTAAATTTGAGGGGTGATCAGGTGGAAGAATAGTTCGGCTATCAGAGTTATAGGTATTATTATTATCACTTGGGAAATGATATGTATGACTGTGCTGAGGTGATGTAGGACAGTCAAGATCACTTTGTGAATGGATCGATGAACTCTTTTTACGAAATGCTTTACCAAGAGAATTCCTGAGCTAAATAAACAAGAGGGAGATATAAGAAAATAAGTTAGATGGTAAAACACGTAAGATACATAAACAGCGGTAGATAGACTGATTGTGACTATAAAATACCCTACTGAAAAAGAGACAGGCAAAACCAGTTGATATGATTATGAGTGGCAATAGTTTGTGCTCGAAATGTCATCAGTTAATATTACTGTATAAAACTGTGTGATTTATCAAAATGAAATCTTAACCATAATGGAGTTATAATCTACCACAGTGCCTGAGTTTGAGCCGTATCCCTAATTGTCTCCAGCCTCCACTGGCGTTTATCGTCACAAGGACTCCAACCAGCAAGTCAGGGAGTCTACACCTTCCTACGTGACTAGCTGGCTTAAACTAACTGATTTGGATTTCATCGATTGATGAAACCTTTTTGGTTGGACCATCACTGCTCAACTCTTTTCAAACCTGACCCTATGTAAGTCAGCTAACATCGCCCATCAGTCGAGCAAGGCGATGGCTAGGCATGCGTAACACATGTCCTCACCTTCCAGTCGATGTAACTTCACAGCCTCGTCGACTGATTTCGCCTCCTTACCTAACACCCGACTAATGCCTAACCTCAATATTGCTCACCCTATTAGACCACTTCACACGGGAAATAGAACGCAGGCACCTATGATCGAAGACAGCTAATCTTTTCATGTCTTCCACAATCAATGGGTAGGCCTCAGCCATTAAGGAGGATAGAGCGGACTGTTGAGCAGCACACGCGCCCTTTGATCGACAGTCAGCTGGATATCTCGTCTACGCCAGAGACGGCGTTAACTGGCATATGAATGTAATGCATGTATTTATTCAACAACTTTTGAACAGTCTGATCAAACAAATAGAAACTTGTCATAGGGAGTTCTGTGAGTGAATTTAACGCCACTGCCAGTCAGTGTTCAACCTCACTAGTCACCACTTCTCATTAGAGCTCAGGGTGGTTGAATGGTAAATGAGTTTGACTGTCGAGTTCAATCCCTCCTGGGGTTGTGCATATCTACCACTGAGGAGCTCCAGACTGGGACGAAACCATTAACAATGACTCTCTAATTGACCAGTTAGTTCATGACGAAATCTTCACTGAAATCATTCCAAATCCCTCTAATATTCCATAATTTAAATAACAAAAAGAGTTCAGTGGGTGAGAAAATAGACGTAGGTCAGATTCAAAGGCTATATTGAAAGTCAAAATAACACCGGAGATCAATAAACCAAAGGAGGAAGATACTACTTACACCTAACCCAGTATCAAACCAAGATCAATCAAAACAGGGTTTAATGTGATGACGAATTGTTTTTAGACGCGCAAAGGTGGTTTAAACTTCCTCATTGCTAAACATGCTACAAATTTTAGGAGGGGGGGGTGTAAAAATCATTATTATGTATTGTCTCTATAATATGTATCACGATGGAAGAGACTAACACATGCCAAACAAATTACAGTATCTTTATTCAACTTAACTTTGAAGGTGACAATATTGAAGGAATAGTCGACAGAAGACTGACTGAGTACGTCACCAACCAGAGTCTGTCCTGCAGTTAAGTTGGTTCCTGCTTATCGGACAAAATGCTTCTTGGTGCAGGCTAAATTCGACAGACACCCTTCTCATGTTAACTTTAACTGTGTGTACAAATTTACGTGTGTCTGTGGGAACAGTTATGTTAGGAGAATAGGAAAAACACCATGCCGCCGACTTTCTAAACAAAAAGTACCAAAAGGTCTTCTTCTCAAGCGAACAAACACTTTCAGTAGTGCCTTTACATGACATCTCCTTGATAAGGGTTATGAGATGGACAAGATCCTTTAAAATTATCAGCGGATGAAAGACCTCAATTCTCCTCAAGTTTGACAAAGCAATCGTTGCCATACACCTGAAACCTGATTTATGTATTCAGCAAGAAGCAGTCAGTTATCAGTTTTTCTTTGCTGTGGCAAATGAATGTCTTTATTCTCTCTTGCACTTGTTTACGTAATCTTCGGCTTTATTCTTGTATCCTTATTGCATAACTCCTTTACTACTGTATGAATATAGTGGTTTTATGTTTTCCTTGAACTTCGTGTCAACAGACATAATTCCTTTTTGATTATAACTCGATTTCACACCATATTTTCGGTACAAGTATGGAATTTTCAGCATGTGATATCGGTAGCCCAAATTTCTCAGACTGACCATTAATATCACGTGTGCGTAGGCAGGGGATCGAACGCAAGACCATGTGTATAGTCGACGAGAGCCCTAACTGCTATGTATAAACTTAAAAATAATGTCTAAAGGCTGTAAGCAGCTGATGAGAAGGCATGATGGTACCATTTAATTTTGTACAAACCTCCGTTATTCTTGCTTTATTCAAAATGAAATAAAATTAGTTCAAGTCCCCAGAAATCCTGTCATCTGTGCCTAAATTACTCTCCAGACAATGTGATATGTGATGAAAGTCTAATCAAGAATGTAAACTAAAGTTGATCGATCCAGGGTGTGCATGCGGTGTTCTATGGCGGGGGGTGGGTGGGTAAGAAACTTTTATGCTGCACATTACACGACACTGTAGTGCAGGCATTTGTAATCTGTGCATAGATTGGCATATAATAATAATAATCTACTTTATTCCAAAAACAGCACTACTTATAATACAGAATGGAATTTTCAGCATTTGTTGCAATATGGCATCTGATTTACTTAAAATATAAATAAAATTAAAAATTAAAACAAAAGTAACCAGAGGAATTTGTTCACGTTTGCAAAATACAGTCAAAAATATTCAAAGCGCGAATTGAAAGTATTAAATATAATAATAATAATAATAACAGTGAGTTTGTTTCAAACAGTATTGTCGATTCAGTTTGGAAATTTTAGCATGTTATTATAGAGTATTGAATCTAATGTTCTGTTGTTATAGCAGCATGGTGAGGGGAAATACAAAATTAACAGTTATTAACACAGCTTAAACGATGTTCACACTTATGAGAAATAAATAAATAACAAAAAATTGAGAGGATTATAAATATAAGAAATACAATAACAATAAAGTTTGGTACTGTAAGGGTGGAAGAGACGGTTTATTTAGTAGTGCAAAGAAGGTTAGTTAGTTAGTTAGTTCATGCCTGACACTATTTTCATCACATAAAGTACGTGCCGTCAAAAATGGTATATAGTGGAATTTTTATACTTAGACAAGTGTGTGCATAAATTCTTCTGAAAAGACTTTTTGTTTTACCTGAGGGGGAGACACAATATTGGAGCTCCGGGTAGAGTGGGTGCTCAGAGTCTGACAAAATTCCTTTAGCGGATTTGTTACATGACATCAAGTGCCTATCAGTGACAATGTCAACGATATGATCCAATGGGATACCATTCGTCCTACTGACAGTCAGTCTTCAGATTTCTACGAAGTATGACATAGCCTTTTTAAAGCAATCCAAGAAAGAATAAGGGTGAACAGTAAGGAAGAATAGGTAAGATGCACGAGTTGAAAAACTGTAAGAGGAGGGGTTGGGTTATGCCTGAGTGCCTTAACTTCTTAATGTAAAAAGTCAGACAAAATATTCTTTTAGAAATCGCTAAGACATGGAAAGACCAGGCGGTATAGATCAGAAGAAAGAATTAATCCAAGATACTTAACTTCAGACTTGATTTCTATATCAGTGTCATCAATTTTGCAAGGGTTATAGGAACCAACAGCTTCATTTGCCTTTCGTTTACATCGGAAACTGAAATTAACAGTCTGACATTTGGAAGGATTTAGTTTAAGGCCGTTAGTTGAAGACCATTTTTGCTAATTCCTGATAGAATACACTGTAGGGTTCAAAACTCATCGATAGCAGTGAAATATGTTAGCAAGGCAACGAGGAGTGGGATATTTCTTCATACCAACACAATCGATTTCATCACTGATATACTACTACTAATGGAAATAACCACAAATTCCACTGATTTTCATAGTCACTCACCAACGCGTATACACACACACACACACACCCAGCCATGCATAGCTATGCACACACACACACACACATAGAAGCCCATAAAATACACCGGCTTCACACAATTTCAACTTCGAATGTGTAATCTATCTAATCAGCATTTGTGTACACCTTCTCACCATTGTCTAGGATGGTATTTCTTTTTTCAATATGCCTTTCTTATGAATCACAACAATTATTATTACTACTGTTTATTCATCAGTAGTATGCCTCTTTTATTCATAAATTAATTGACTGTTTTGTTGGGATAACAGGAGTGTTCTGTGTGTGTGTGTGTGCAAGGGGGGTAGGTGGAGGGAGGGAGTAACTCTAGGTATGTGAATTTAATTTCAACAACAACAATCAAAATGAATGTGATGAAAGTGTCTGCGTGTACGTGTGTGAGTGAGTGAATGAAACAACAATTGATTGATTTGTTGTGGATTCCAGTGGTGTTATTCTTGTTGGTGGTGTTGTTGTTTTTGATGGTTAGTGGAAGAATTTATCGATTGGTTTAGTTACCTAGTTAATAGTTATTTGATGAATCAGTCCAAAGAACTGACCAGTACAACTAACTGAAATGTGAATAATTAGGGAAAATGTTTCAATTAAAATCCTTAGAATCCATTGCGTTCTGACTGGAATATAGGCGAGGGGTTCGAGCTTAAGCTCTTCCTTTGGAAATTCAGTAGCGGTGTTAATGTTTTCCTTGTCATGGAGTGAGTTTGCTATCCTCACACTCCTCAACCAGCCTTCTCCTGGTTAATGAACTAGACGATCTCGTTCAATAGTTGGCTGCATGACAATGCCGTATGTCTAGTAGTCCACAATGGAAAACTCAACGAGGCGTTTGAAGAGAAGACAGGAGTAAGTAAAGGCTGTCTGTCTACTATCAAGCACGATTTAATTCTTGATTGTGGTGAAGTGAACTGTGCAGAAGACCACAAGAAGAGAGAAGACAGGAATACACTGGACCGAATAGAAGGCTAGCAGATTTGGGCTTGGTAGACGACCGATCTCTCACGTCACACATAAATTCGAAGACTTAAAGAAGAAAACCGAGGGACTGACAGAAGAAACGGACAATGAAGATAGAACTTTAAGCAAACATACGGGAGATGGAGATAAAAGAGACTATGGGCAATCTTGGACCCAATTGAAGAGGATGGCAGAAAAGAGAAGAAGGTGGAGACGTGATGTGTTTTTGAAGCCCTATGTTCCATTCGGAACCTGAAAGAATAATACTAATAATAACTGTTCATAAAAGTTACAATCACTTACCCATCCATTCTTCTTTGAATTACTTCCAGAAGATTTTGTACCAGATGTTGATATTCTTCTATCAGTTGAATTTTCTGCCTGTGATTGATTACCCTCCATATCTGTAAGACTTAAATTTGAATTTGTTAAACTTGTCCTATTTATCGTGTGTTGTTGCTCACCAACACTGACACTGCTGTCTTGTTTTAATGTATCTTTTGTACTTGATCGATTTAACTCACAAGGTCGATTAATTGGTGGTTTTTTTAAAAGTCCTAATTCTGTTTGACTACGCAGTGCATCGATTGTAGCTCTTAATTCATGCAATTCTGAATCCTTATAAGATATGAAAAATAAAATGGATGTATAAATGGATGAATTTAGTGAAAATGACAAACTCGTATTATTTATGAAAACTGTAACAATTAACATTTAACTAACCGAAGGAGTGGAATGGTTTAATACGCTCCACCGTACTAACTCACTTTATTTCCTATTCAGGACAAAATCTAACTATAAAAGCGTCAGCAGAATAAAGAGGTGGTACGTATTTACTGTTTACTTTGCTTAGAATGTCAGCTTTCAGTAATAGGCCTCATCTTTACAACGATGTAAAGACGGGACTAAAATAACCCGACGCTATATCTCCTCAGCTAACAAGTGCTCTTGACTTAATGGCTAGCCTTGTACATCGTAATGACCCAACTAGCTAAACTGGCTGGAATGAATGTCCGTGCATGTCTTATCATGGTAGGAAGATCACTGAAGGAAGACATTTCAGGCAGACGACTCACAAGACATCTATCTATTTAGCCTCTAGGCTCTGAGGAGAAGGGGTCAGTTAAAGTTCATCCAGAATTTCTCGAAAGCAGTCCGTAGGCAGGGAAATGTCTCTTCATACAGAAACAACTCAAAAAATAACTTTTAACAAACCGTACGTGCCCAGCATCAGACTATGATTCCGTGATTAACCTCTTTTTCACTGCCTAACTATATTACTTAAAACTTTCACCCTATCCCACACTATTGTATGATTACATGCACTTGAATGTATTGCAATGGTCGATGCTATTTTCCAGATTATTTTGATGTGGTTGTGTTCTCTGAGCTGGCTGGATAGTTAATTTGCGAAGCTTTCATCGCCCCACCATTAGGCAACATCTTCAGCGGATACTTCAATTTATTGAAGTGGGCTTTTAGATTTCCTCACGAGTTTATTAGTCATCACTCCTGGTGACCAACTTGAATGTGATTCGTTGTCTTTGTGTGCTTTCACACCTTCTAGGCTATTTGTATTGGAACTGATTGTTTCTTTGACTTGAACTTTGACCCTTGTGTGCGTGTGTGTGTGAGGTTTCTTTCTTATCGGTTGATAAATTTTGTCTATCTCGATGTGTCTATGAATTGATGATTCACTGGAATACCAGGCAGGATTCTAAAAATTCTCTAGCATTCTTGGTGTTTCATCTGTCTAATATTTGAACGTTGTGTGCGAAGAATAAAACTTTCCCGAAGATGATTGAAATGTCAGTCAAAAACATCTACTCCAAAGACTGCCAGCTCCGTGAATACTTAGAACAGAACAATATATATATATACTACTAATTACAAATAAGTAGAAAACATTAGTGGGATCAAGTCAGTTAGGGTAATAATTTATTCCAATCAACATAAATCATACCTAGAAGACCTGGATTTCGCGCGGCGATGATTTATGCTTGATGTCGCACAAAATCGAGAACTTACAAGCGAAAACCGACTGACAAACTGGTCGAAGAAGCAGTCGGCGAAGACAGGACATAGACAAGATGGAGGTGATGAAAATAACCAACCAGCAACAACAGAAGCAATATCCAGCGTCAATCTCCATCAGCGAGAGGGATTTGAAAGAGGTTACTTCATTCACTCAATTATCATCTAGGGAGCATTGTCTCAACTACAGGCAGTCGGAATGGACGAGGATGTCGAATCGAGGGTCGGGAAGTCATTGAGAAACACATTCAGCAAACTGAAACCAATCTGGAAATCTTCGTCACTCAGCCAGCACCAACAACAAAATTCGGTCGGATTTTCAATACAAACGTCAAGTCAGTCAGTTCTTCTATACGGATCAGAAACTTGGCAGGCGGATCACAAAGAATATTTCCAACCGCCTGTTGCAGACCTTTATCAACAACTGTCTCCCCTCTATGCTGAAGATCACATGGCCGGGCGGGAACTATGGCTGGGAACAGACAAAACAAGAACCAATCGCCAACCAAGAAATATGCAGGAGAAAGTGGAGATGGATTGGACACTACACGCTGAGGAGGCCGCCGGATGACATCGTGCGCGCGTCAGGCCACTGCTCGACTGGAACCCGGAAGGGAAGCGGCGAGTGGGACGTCGGTGTAAGGGTGACATGGAGGAAATCGTGTGAAGAGGAGGAGTTGAAATAGTATGAACTAACTAACATGGGTTCAGGTGAAAAGTACATCAGAAGACAGAAGCAAGTGGAGACGTGTAGTTGAAGCCCTAGGTTCCACTAGGAACCAAAGGGAACAATAGTCATAACATAAATCACAGACCAGAAATGACTGTTTCTAATGAAGGAATACATTGAGGTAATCTAGGTGTGATGTGGGTTGGGGTGAATAGTATACGCATCGTTATGAATTCAAATGAAGATAATGACTACAATTTATCACCAAAAGTAACTTACTTTCTTTGTTGTTGTATTCGTTAAATTCTGTAGACGTTGAGACATATTATTTAAACTTTGTTCAAAAGCTGAGACAACATGAGCCTAGAAAGAGTCAAAGAGAGGGGAGAACACATGAAGGAATTTATGTAGCAAAGGCGAGTAGATTAAACTGCCATAACAACTATCACTATCGGTTGTACGACACTATAGACAAGGAAAATTCACTAAAGTCAAATATTTACCCATTAATACCTTAATAACAAACCAACCAAAAACCTATCACCCAGTAAAAAAGGACGAAGAAAATCGAGATGCGACGGATACACAATGAGAAGATCGTTGAGTGACATTCCGCTCCAGGTGGGCACTTGAATGAAACACAAATGGGAAACGATAAGTTGGGTGTGGATCTAAAGATGACAGTGTAACAACAGAAGACAAGGGCCAGGCAACACAGACTGTTTATTGACGAAATCAATACATATTTATATAGATTATTCAGGCAAACAAACACACTCTTCTGATTGATTGTTTCTCACAGAAAGTTGACCTTGCATCTCTTTATGACCATTTCTTGAATGTCAGGTCATCTATATGTTAACTGTATCTGCCTACGCAAAGTCTGCTGTGATTGGTTGTTGAATCAGTCTTGTTCATATTTTCGCACGAGCAATATTTGGGACATAAACATTGACGTAAATTAATGTCTACCAATTCTGGCTAGGAGCCAGCTCTCACCACACTCGTCCCCCTTCAAAGTCTTGCGAATGAAGTTGGTTCGGTCTTCTTGGTTCTAGGAGCTTTGTTCGTTTGTCTTGCTGTCTTGGCGCTCGCTGATGTTCAACTATTTCTCTTTGTTTACCATTGCGATTGTGTCTGCGTAACCGCATCTCAAAGTGACCATATTTGGTCCATCCTACTTTGATAAGTGTTTGCCTGACCCTGTTGCACATTCGTCGGTATTTCGCTTCACACTTTCATATGCTGCTTTCTCCTGACCTCCCAACAGCATCCCAAATAACAGCTTCACCACTGACAGGTCTTGAACACCACTGAGCTGCGCAAAAGCCTTGAAATCCTGCCCGAAGATCCAAGTGTCTCCATCAAAAACTGCAAGGCATAGGCTTTTCATTTGTCGATAGGCAGCGACACCAAATGTAACAACAGGAGACAAGGGCCAGGACACCACAACATGATGGAGATCGTGCGAGGAGGAGAAGGAGGAAGGAATAGTAATAATAATACCTCTGCCTGTATCCTAATATCATCAAAAGTACTTTTGAGTTTCTTGGTTTAAAGCACTTACCCGCCGTGAATTTCAATATGTGATGAGAAGCGTTTTGAAACCAGCTGATTTCTATATAGGTCTTTCAGACGGATAACTATGTTGCTATTCGATGAGATTATGAATTCCATACACCCTTTGGTTCTTAATGTAGAATTCTGAACTTCTCTGATAAAAGGGGATTTTCATAGAGACAGCAGCACCAAACAAAGGACTAGACACGTCACACTAGTTACGAGTGTTCAATCAAAACATCCACTACAGACAGTCCTACAGGACGTCAATCACGAGCCAACCTGAATAGCTCAATAGTAACGTCTCTGACTCATTGCAGCACTCACAGGGTGACGCGGGTTTGAATCTCCTAGGGAGGGACATGAGTTCCTTCAAGCTGGTTGCAGATACGCCTTGCTGACTGATTTGTGAGTGTCAACTAGCACGAAACCTAGGTGGTATCGAAGGCTTCCTGTGGCCGATTGCCTCCAACTATCTAATATCATCAAAGCAGTGTGCACTGTGTTGGCGAGCTACCTACTGGCCACATTGCAAACCTGACTGACTGATAGAATTCAGTTTGCACCAAAGAAAGGATTAGACACACGTCACACTAGTTACTGACTAGTGTTCAATCAAGACAGTAGGCTTATTTTTGATTTAATGGAAATGTAACGCAGCTGAACAGAACAGGCAGTAAATTGGCCGAAAGTGCATCAGCTCAAGTTGCCTCATCAAATTTGAGGGGAGAAATGGAATAAAACTAGAAAATAATTATAACTGATAATACAGCCTCATTGACCGCAACGCAGTATGGAACTTATGATTTGAAGAAAATTACGGCAGTCAAATTACAGATACTGAACATAAAATAGTCTTTCTGTCTGCCTGTTTTCGACATAGAACTTTGCACATATGTGCGGCAGTTCAAGTCGCCACACTCCCTCCCTCCATGTACCACAGAAAGCAAGAAAAGAAAGTGGAAGAAGTGCATAATAGAGACAGTAAACAGAGGTGTGAGACAAAAGGAATAGTAATAACGAAGAACGATGTAGTTTCATTGGAAATTATAAGTCACACGAAATGGGTGCATCTGCACCAGCCATCGAGTACGATGTGTCTGAGCCATATCACCAATTGTCTCCAGCCTTCATTGGTTTTCACCGTCTCGAGGAACCCAACCAGACAGAAGTCTACACCTTCCTACGTGGCTTAGACTAACTGTTGTAGATTTCATTGACTGGTTCCATGTTTGGTTTGATCACCGCTAGCTATTTTCCAACCTGACCCTGTGTCAGCTAACATAAAATAGTTGATGTCAACAAGGCGTTTAACGTTATTTACCATATTCCGACTGGTCTTAATTTTACCCTACGAGTTCGCCCTTTACAATATATAGCTAAAGCCACCATCTACATGATCATTTCACCTGTTTAAGGCCCAACTCAGACTGTTGAGTCTATTCAAACCACCTGGTTTCTCGTTAGGCTGCTACTTAGGCGACCTGGTTATTCCATAAATCGAATTCGCAAATTAACACAGTACTCGAGGAGGTGATTATACTTCACCACAGTAAATGTGAATCAATGAGGAAAATCTCACACACACCCCCTTGTACTGTATAAATCGCAAATTCGACTTACAACAAAACAACCCAAGTTGACGAATCTGTCTTGGTGATCAACAGTGTCTCAAAAGAAACATAAGTGATTTCAGCTAATGACAAAAGTTTTGCTTTAAAACATTCACGCTCATCCCTCCCCCATCACTTTTTTCATCAAAAAAAGGTCACATATTTTTCTCAGAAAACAAAATGTCTGCTTGAAAAATCAGTGATACATTTGTGATGATATATGCTACTCCTGTCAGAAATATAATTCTACAACATGAAGCATCACATATATATATATATATATATATATAAGATATTTTAGAACAGGAGAAGTTTCTGATCTTTTTGACGTAGAGGCATTAAATGTTAGCGAGGAATTTTATTTCGACTAAAAATATTTTATGATCCTTTTTCTTTTTAAGCGACTTACGTCATTTGCTCCTTCGCAGGGTTTCTCTTCGATGTCTACGAGCCAACCCACCCTACTCGACCCCACCCCCTGGATTTGTCTACCTGTTACTGATAAATTTTTGTCTGCTTATTGTTACGTAACAAGGAGAGAACAGATTGTCAGTGTCTTGTTTGCCTAGACAAGTCAGCTGTTTTAATAGACGGCAAAAAAGGTTAATGTGTCCTAAATACTGCCAAGTTATTTCAAGTTAAATTTATCCTGCACTGTATGACGATTACGTCTGAATTGGTATGCCTGCTTTTTTTGGGGGGGAGGGATTAACTCTGACTCGGTCTCATGTAGTCACAATGACACTATCTGTGACTCAGGGCGCTCACAAAGTTTACATCAAAAAGTCTACGATTTTCGTGCGAAATTCATTGGGATCAGTGAATATTAATTTTTAAAAAAGAAACACAGTTTCTTTTTTGTTCAACGAAGAAATACACTTTCTTTTCAATGACTTCATTTTCAAGCCAACTGTACAGTCGTATTATTGATATAAGTATAAAACTTGGGCATTGTGACGGTAGAGTATACCTCCATTATGGATAAGATTTTATTTTGATAAAGTGTCACACAGTGGTGTTATACAGGAATATTAACTGATGACCACGTTTCGAGCACAAACTATTGCTGCTCATAATCATATCAAGACATTACTCACACAACTTTTTTCCTTCATTTATATACATGTATGGAATCGATTAGATATTGGAATGTACATTCGGGAATAATAATATTAGTGTTATCGATCAAGAACAGTCAGATGTGAAATAAGACGACTGCTTTTATAGTCATAATAAGTAACTTGTTAAAATGTTGTGATGTGCTTGAATTGAAATAGAATACAATTTAAGATTATTTATTATCCTCCTATGATTTGACTGACTGACTGACTGGTGGTAATAATATCTTACATGCAGATCTCTGGTATTTGTACTGAGTCATTTCTGTTGCATGTGTTCGGTGTAGACTCAATGAACCAGACAGGATTCAATAATCAATCTCTCTCCACCTACATCGTTTACTTTTTAGAATTTTAACCCTATCCCACCATGCTATTGTGTGGTTGATTGTTAATGCGTGAAGTGCAATTGCTGAGCTTTTTTCTAAATTACTTATCTTCTTGGGTGGGGTCAACCATTCTTCTCTTAGCTAAATTCTTATGTTCTGACAATCCGATTACCCCCGTCCTACTAGTTTGATCTACGTAGTTGACCTCAATCACAGTCATTGCAGGGTATTTCATAAATTATATTATTTTGTCTAATTGAGTCAACCGACAGAGTCCTTTAACCTACTCAGCTTGTCCTGTCTGAGTGAGTTTGTAGGTTTAAATGTCACCACCCTAATTCATGCTTTATTGAGAATCCTACGTAAGGTCTCAGATATCCCCTCCCTACTCATATGGTATAACAGTGGATGACTTATATTCTTTCTTATTTATGTTATCATTATTAGTTTCACAATTATTTTTATTTTGTTTTTGACCTTTTCTGATCTTCCTAATGAATTTTATAGAATAGATGTTCAACACCAACGCTTCTTCTATCTGTTTTATTTCATCAATTAGGTCTTTTCTTGTGCTACTTAGTGCTACTGCTCGGTTTGTTAGACACTTAACTAAGCCTTCTTCACAAACAGTTAACGGATGAGATGAATTAAAGTCTAAATATCCAATATTAGAATGAGTTGGTTTTCTATAAACACTAGTGTGTAGTTTGCCTTCTTCTATTCGTTTTATTTTACAATCTAAC